TAAAATAATTTATAAATTTATTTAAAATTTAATTAAACAATAATAAAAATAATTTTACAAATATTTACTTACTAATCTTCATCTGAATTTATAAAATCTTCAGGATTCCAATCATATTCATCTATTTCTATTTGATTGTTATCTTTATTAATATTTAAATTTTCATTATTTTTTGATAAATCTTCATCAATATAATCATCATCATTATCTGGAAAATTTTCTAAATCATCAGTAAAAATTTTATCATCTAATCTAAATTATTTTCTAAAAATAAAATTAAATTTTCTGTAGTATTAATATTAGAAGAATTATCAGATATTTGTTCTAAATTATTAATTAATAATTCTTCTTTGTTATAATTTTCTTTTTCTAAAATTTCTTTAAAAGTTTCAATATTTGATTGTTCTAATATTTTTAAAAGTCCATCTTCTTCTATAGTATTTGCAAAATAAGATAATTCTTTTTTTATATTAAAATTATAATAAGTACATAATTTTGCCATAGATTCTAATTTTTGAATATCTATTTGTATTCTCTTATTACTTGTTAACCAGTTAAGTAAAGAAAAATTTCTTTCACATGATGTACTATTTGGAACAATTGATAAAATTTTTATTGCTATTTCTTGAAGATACTTTGGTTTAGATTCAATACTATTCCACCAAATTATTGGAGTATCATATTCTTGAGTATAAGATGCATCATATAGAAATTGTTTTTTTTTATAAAGACGAAGATGTGATATTAAAATATTATCGCTCTTTTTAGTATTTCCAAGTTTTTGCCAAATTATTCCAACTATCTTAATTATTCTTGAAAATTGACTATATTTGAATCCTAAATCTAAATAATAAAAATAATTAATAATAATTTAAAATTTTAAATATAAATAACACTTACTTCTAAATTTTGGTATTAAAAAATATTCTAAAATATATAAATCATCATCAAATTCAATAAATCTTTTGTTTAAATTATTAATACAATATTTTCAAAAGTCAATATATTAACATATTGGTAATTGTTTAATTGTAGCTCCAATTTTAGCCAAATAAAAAAAATAATTACTAAGAGTTATATTTTGACTTTCTAATACTAAAATTGATTTTTTTAAAGGTAAAAGAATATAATTTAAAACTTTAAATGAATAAAAAAAGTATGTCTATTTATAATATTATTAATTTGATTATTTGTTAAAGTTTTATCTTTAACAATCTAACAATAATAAATTAAATTATATATTAATATTATTTTTATAATTATTTTAATAATTATATCTTTATAATACCTTTTTTAAATTTTTTT